CACCAGGTGAAATACCACCAGGACTTTGAGAAGAGTAAGGGCAGCTTCACTCCCACCACTTCTGACCCTGTGATGGACCGCGTGAAGAAGAACACCCAGGAGTTCAGCGACATCACCTACCGTGGTATCCAGAGACGTGTGGTCGAGATGGAGAAGAGACGCGTGGTGGAGCACGAACAGGAGACCGTCACTGGTACGCACGCAAGCACACATACGCTGTACCCACAAACAAACACAAACCAATTATTGTACATCCATATGATCTGTTGTAACAGCCGTTCTAAGCCGCTGGTAAAACCTGTCTGTTCACCCTCAGATCTGCGTGTGTGGCGCACCAACCCCGGCTCTGTGTTTGACTATGACCCTGCTGAGGACAACATCCAGTCCAGGAGTCTGCACATGATGTCAGGTAAGAGAGAGAAGCCTCACGCCTGAACAGCATAATACACAGGAAACGCTTTTATTTGTCATATAAACAACTATAAGCATTATGATCTTATTCATAATAATGTATAATCATTTATAATGGCCTATTCATTCAATAAAAAGTGCAACCAATATTATTAGGTTTTGTTGAACCCTGAACTCTGCCCTCTGTGTGACAGTCCAAGCCCAGCGTCGCAGCAAGGAGCACTCCCGCTCCACCAGCGCTATGAGTGGTGTTGGTGATGAGAAGTCTGAGGTGTCTGAGGACCCAGCCCACCACATGTCCCTGTACAGCAACGGCTTCGCTACCTCCTCTATGGGTAGGTCTACTGTAGTAGATCCACCTTACACATGGGGGCTGCTCTCTCTGCTCTCAATCATACCACCAAACCACTTTGGACCACTTGATGTTAAAAAATGTCCCTATACACTGAGTACACAAAACATTAGGAGCACCTTCCTAATATTGAGTTGCACCCTCCTCCACCTTTGCCCTCAGAACAGCCTCAATTCGTCGGGGCATGGACTTTACAAGGTGTCGAAAGCGTTCCACAGGGATGCTGGCCCATGTTGACTCCAATGCTTCCCACAGTTGTGTCAAGTTGGCTGGATGTCCTTTGGGAGGTGGACCATTCTTGATACACACGGAAAACTGTTGAGCGTGAAAAACCCAGCTGTGTTGCAGTTCTTGACACACTCAAACCGATGTGCTTGGCACCTACTACCATACCCCGTTCAAAGGCACTCAAATATTTTGTCTTGCCTATTCACCCTCTGAATGGCACACAATCCATGTCTCAGTTGTCTCAAGGCTTAAAAATCCTTCTTTAACCTGTCTCCTCCCCTTCATCTTTGGATTTAACAAGTGACATCAATAAGGGATCATAGCTTTCACCTGGTCAGTCTGTCATGGAAAGAGCAGGTGTTCCTAATGTTTTTAACACTCAGTGTATATGTGAGACCTTTATATTCAAGCCTCTTCAATACTTGGTACAGTCAGTGCCCTGTGCCCAGCCCTCTATGGAAGAAGTATCCATACCTAACCCTCATCCTAACTTTGACAGCTGACTTGACTAATGTCTTTCCTATCGCCTCCTGCAGGCTACACACACGCCAAGACCGTGGAGCTGCAGCAGAGGTCTTCCTCTGTAGCCACCCAGCAGACCACCGTGTCCTCTGTCCCCTCCCACCCTTCCACCACCGGGGTGAGTACTGTACTTTGACTGTACCAGGCTCACAGGACATAGACCATTACCGTGGCAACCAGTCATCAGTGAGGTCTATTTATTGGCTGCCGATGTTGTGACTGACTGTGAAACATAATTAGAATTGTATTGCCTCCACATTGAGAAGGGAGATGCCAGAGAAACAGGGAGGAGTTTTGGGCAAATTCCTTTAGGGGGGTAGTTGTGCATTACCCACTACCATGAAGCTATCCGATGCGTTCTCTATATCAGCCATCATTACTCAAATATATGTTTTGTCCCGTTCAGAAAACTGTGCGTGCCATGTACGACTACTCCTCTGCCGACATGGACGAGGTCTCCTTCAAGGACGGTGATGTCATCGTGAACGTGCAGTCCATCGACGAGGGCTGGATGTACGGCACTGTGCAGCGCTCAGGCAAGACTGGCATGCTGCCGGCCAATTACGTTGAGGCAATCTAAAGACAAGGCCCACCCACCCCTACCCCCGGAGTGGGTGAGACACATCCACCTGGCTACCTGATTGGCCGCCATCTACGGCTGAATCTGTCGCGTCTTAAACCTGTTATGTGTAGACGATCGCTTATATTAGATTTTAGTAGCTGTATTATTAGTAGCCTTCTATAGTATATTGTCTACATGCAATTGTTGTCGATGCCTGTTTCCCGATCCCCTGTGGATGTGACATGAGAAGCTGGAATGTATAAATATTTATACATATCTACATAGACTACTGTATAAGAATGTTAATCCTTTTCCAAGACCTTGTCTTGAAAGAACAATATGACGAAAAGACCATTTAATCAATGTCAGTTAAATGTTTTTGAAAAACTTTACTGAACATTAACTTTCACACAAAAACAGATGGGCTTACATGCAATTCAAACTTGGCTGTGATGGAAAAGTGAAGCATATGAATGATAGGAAAGTGTAACGTATGGAGAGAATAAATAAAATGGTTTAAATCACTTAAGACCACAAGTGGTTGATGAAAGATGAAGAAAAGACTAAAAGATGTGTGACCTTGCTAACCTTACGAGGTATCATCCAACATACCTCAAACCAGGGGTCTGTTCCGGAGGATGTAACATTACAGAACGTTCAGATAAAAATGTAGAACAGATATGATTGTCTATCAGAGAATGAATAGAGCTGACAATTCCCTATTCTATTTCTATCTGCAACGTTCAGAGCGTTTCTCGTCCCTGAATACACCCCAGTTTCTTGAGAGTTCTAAGAGACAAGCCTCTTCCCTCCTGAAGTGGCCGAAGGCTGGCCACTCATTGCATGTGTTTTGTTTCCTCCGATTACCTAGGTCTGGGGGTAAAAGAAGTCAAATAACCTTTGATCAGTAGATAATAAAACACCAAGCTTCTGCACTACTGCGGTCTTGTGTTCTTATTTCTCTACCTTGTGGCCTCTCTCCACTTTAACTTAGCTACATTTCCTACAGCAATGGTTTTCTACCAGTTCAAAATACAGAGCCAGAGACCACTTTAGCAGCTTGCTTATTGATTAAAGGTACATCAACAATAACTGATATTGACACAAAAGAACCTGACAAGATGAAATCAAGTGCAGATGAGTCAGTAATGTTTTTTTTGGGGCTGTTTTATAGATGAGAAAACAAATCCTACAAATACACTGCTCAAAAAAATAAAGTGAACACTTAAACACATCCTAGATCTGAATGAATGAAAATCTTATTAAATACTTTTTTCTTTACATAGTTGAATGTGCTGACAACAAAATCACACAAAAATTCAATCAAATTTATCAACCCATGGAGGTCTGGATTTGGAGTCACCCTCAAAATTAAAGTGGAAAACCACACTACAGGCTGATCCAACTTTGATGTAATGTCCTTAAAACAAGTCAAAATGAGGCTCAGTAGTGTGTGTGGCCTCCACGTGCCTGTATGACCTTCCTACAACGCCTGGGCATGCTCCTGATGAGGTGGCGGATGGTCTCCTGAGGGATCTCCTCCCAGACCTGGACTAAAGTATCCGCCAACTCCTGGACAGTCTGTGGTGCAACGTGGCGTTGGTGGATGGAGCGAGACATGATGTCCCAGATGTGCTCAATTGGATTCAGGTCTGGGGAACGGGCGGGCCAGTCCATAGCATCAATGCCTTCCTCTTGCAGGAACTGCTGACACACTCCAGCCACATGAGGTCTAGCATTGTCTTGCATAAGGAGGAACCCAGGGCCAACCGCACCAGCATATGGTCTCACAAGGGGTCTGAGGATCTCATCTCAGTACCTAATGGCAGTCAGGCTACCTCTGGCGAGCACATGGAGGGCTGTGCGGCCCCCCAAAGAAATGCCACCCCACACCATGACTGACCCACCGCCAAACCGGTCATGCTGGAGGATGTTGCAGGCAGCAGAACGTTCTCCACGGCGTCTCCAGACTCTGTCACGTCTGTCACATGTGCTCAGTGTGAACCTGCTTTCATCTGTGAAGAGCACAGGGCGCCAGTGGCGAATTTGCCAATCTTGGTGTTCTCTGGCAAATGCCAAACGTCCTGCACGGTGTTGGGCTGTAAGCACAACCCCCACCTGTGGACGTCGGGCCCTCATACTACCCTCATGGAGTCTGTTTCTGACCGTTTGAGCAGACACATGCACATTTGTGGCCTGCTGGAGGTCATTTTGCAGGGCTCTGGCAGTGCTCCTCCTTGCACAAAGGCGGAGGTAGCGGTCCTGCTGCTGGGTTGTTGCCCTCCTCCACGTCTCCTGATGTACTGGCCTGTCTCCTGGTAGCGCCTCCATGCTCTGGACACTACGCTGACAGAAACAGCAAACCTTCTTGCCACAGCTCGCATTGATGTGCCATCCTGGATGAGCTGCACTACCTGAGCGACTTGTGTGGGTTGTAGACTCCGTCTCATGCTACCACTAGAGTGAAAGCACCGCCAGCATTCAAAAGTGACCAAAACATCAGCCAGGAAGCATAGGAACTGAGAAGTGGTCACCACCTGCAAAACCAGTCCTTTATTGGGGGTGTCTTGCTAATTGCCTATAATTTCCACCTGTTGTCTATTCCATTTGCACAACAGCATGTGAAATTTATTGTCAATCAGTGTTGCTTCCTAAGTGGACAGTTTGATTTCACAGAAGTGTGATTGACTTGGAGTTACATTGTTGTTTAAGTGTTCCCTTAATTTTTTTTGAGCAGTGTATATACATCCTACTCTGGAGGCAGGTGATGTCGTGGCCTGACCATCTATGACGGCCTCAAACAAAACAGGCACAGTACTGGCATTAGAATCATGAATTCAGAACAGAAATACGTTGCCTAATGCTCACATACTGTATGCATGTATACAACTTGTAAACTTCCCATCCATCCAAAGAACAACACTGATACAGCCTCCGTCTTTCAATCCTTTATTTAAGCACACAATGTAAAAGGTGCCATCCTCCTGGCCAGAATTTGTTAAAATATCACTTCTTGGCAAAGTCTTGGTACAGCCAACCAGAGACCATGCTTCGCTTTCACCCTGTTGCCATGACAACCGGAATCACCACCACTACGACTACTTTTTTAGCCTGAAAAGTTAACAATAATTTATAAAACATCTCCCTCACCATCAAAGAGGACAATGAAAAAGGCCAAAGAGAACAGGAGTTTAAAAACACAATCCAAACAGATCCTGGTGGACTTGTAGTGTAGTCCTTGATTAACTCTTTAAAAAATAAAATTCTTAAGAGTCGGGGTGTGAGAGGGGAAACCTTGTCTGGGGTGTTCAGGTTCGAAGTCCACGGGGGCTGGGTGGACTGAGCACCCATATAAACAAATCAAGATCTCTGTAAGAATTCAAACACCATTGTGCCGCCCCCCACAATTGTCAATAGGCACCCCCAATTGGCACCTTCAAGAGACTTCAATTTGGGCATTCCGAAGATATGTAATCCAAACCCTGGGACTGTATAGTGTTTGGATCAGGGTCCGCTGTCCTTGTTCTGAGCCAGTAGTCTGCTCTGCAGCTCCACCACCACAGTCCTCATCATGCCTCCCAGCTGATCATGGATCTGAACCAGTTGGTCAGGGGAGCAGTGGCTCAATCCCTCCCCAGTCAGATGGGCCTCCAGGGACTTCACCTCCGACAGCAGACCCCCCTCAGCAGTCCTCTGGTGGTCAGGCCTGCTCTGGTCCGGTCTCTCCTCTGGATGTTCCTCATGCTCCTTGGACACGGGCTCATCCAACAACTCTGTGACTACAGAAGGGACAGGAAGGAACATCATGCATGTATGATATATTGAGTTGTTCTGTTCACCAGTGAGCTGACTTAGAAATACAGTTAAAAAAAATATCAAAAAATGTATTTGTGGTAAGTAACCTAAGAGTTACAAGTTAGCAAACAATTTTTGGATAAGCCTATCCTGTACTGCACAAATTGCCCTTCGACTTTGGGGACCATACAGGTTTATTGAACTCACCTAGGGCATCTCCTGGAGTCTTGTCCTCCTCTTCCTGGTTCTGAGGAACGGTTGGCTCCTCCAGCTCAGATGTCATCTTCTCCATCTCCTCAAAACTCTTCAGCTCATCACTACGGCCCTTCCACTGAAGCAGTGACAAGGTAAAACGGTCAATTACAGACCAAATAGATCGGCACAGTTCAGGTGGTTTTTATCTACAACTATTAACCATGTATGACAATTATCATTAACTGTTTAAGACAAATATCTCTTAGCTATATTCTAAAGTGTAGATCTCATTTGCAGTCCTTCAAGTTGCATTTTCAGAAGGTAGTAGAAAGTCACAGGTTTCAAGTCAAGTTCGGGCAAAATACCTGCTGTTCATGGTACATTTTAAGTGCTTTCTTCACATTAGAAATCTTTGGGGAACGAATGGGAAGGTTCTTGATTTCACTTGGTGTAAGAGCACTGAGGTCTCCGACAGTTTTGATATTCCGGGCTCGCACAAGCTGGCCGAAGCCACGAGGCCTGAGGAAAGAGGAGAAATAATGACAGAATCATTTAAGGCAGCTATCAGCAGTAGAAACAATAGCAAAACGTATCCCCGCCCCTGTTGTTTCGGTAAATAGCGGAGGGATGGGACTGAAGAAATGTAACACGCAAATTCATCGAGCTATGGATGCAAGGACTGACCATCCATGATATCAACATGATAGTTTAACCATGTTTTGAGGCTATATAGTGTTTGTTTACATTTACTTTGTCTACAAACACAGGAGTAAAACAATCTTATATTTTGGGTTCTGATGGGGTACGACAGTTGACCTAAGCTCATGAGGCATTTATAGGTTATATTCTTCAATAATCATTGGGGACATATAAAATGTAAAAGTCCAAAAATGTATGTAGCAACTGCTGATTGCCCATTTAATTAAAAAAGACATGTTTGTGGTGAAATAGGATGGACAAGCTCTAAAGCTTTGGATATCTGCTACAGTTGTATGGGGATCGATGTGTTGGATTGTTGTTCCCTTGTTGCAACTCACATTGTATTAAACTTTATTTATTGTACAAGCTGTTGCTCATTTCTTGGACCCGAGTTCTCTCGGTTACACTCACCACACGTTGGAGGTGATCTGAGGCAGCACTGCTTCCACGGGGGTAGAACAGCGGACCAGGGCCGGGTACACACAGTCCTTAGGTATGGGCCTCGGCTCCTGGCCCATCTCAGAGATCTGAAACAACATTAAATCAAGTTAGAAGCTAAGTAGGAATGGGACTCGGGCACATGCACAACAATCAGACTATTTTGGGCAGTAAACCAATTTTTAAAAATGCAATGTGTTCTTGTATGTAGGCTATATTGGGTGTTTTGTCTATATATACACACACTGAATGTATGCATGCTGCAAAATTAATGTCCTTGTGGATAAGGTTTTTATAATCTAATCCATTAGGTTTTTTGAAAAGGTTTGAATTTAGGATTGGAACAATGTTGCATGTATGATCTTGTCTGAAAATAACTTGGGTACTTCCTGTGTATCTGGAGGTACATACCAGGCATTTCTTGGAGCTCTTGTACCCCGGGCTGCGGAGATTGCGTGGACTGAGGATCAGTAAGCCCTTTGTTGGTGTTGTGATATGCTGCAATATAGAGCAGCGGTTAGGCTAATACAGGAAAAGGGTCAAATTGGAAGAGACAGCGTCTCAAAAAAGAAGCAAAATTCAGTTAATCTGTGGCCACATAACTTGATTTCTGCATGATTAACTCAGTCTCCCATTGATGTCAATTAATGATCTACGCAAAAGTCAAAGTTACACACGCTCATCTTAACTAAATCGTGTCTTTAATGATTTAGTGCAGAGTATTTAAAATGACATTTACTACACATCACTAGTGGACCGTGTACCTTCGGCTGAGGGATGCTGCTGGTAGCTTTGGTTCTTGGGGAGCTGGATCGGATGACAGGGCTGCGACGGTCAATGTCATCTGCCAGCTCCTGGTGTTGGATTGGGTCAGCAAATGATACTCGTCGAGACTGCGAAATAAAAAGTATGGAATCATTTAAGACACTGTTTTCAAAACCTGCTAATGCCATCCTAGATACATCTCAAGGATTCTCTTCAATAGAAAGTATGTAATTTTCAATTTATACTGACTGAGTTGAATGCAGATAATTAGAACATATGCATAAATGATTTATGATGTGTAAATCGTCATGGATTAAGTACCCCTGATCACGTTACCTTCGTGAAAGGCGAAGGACTCTCCTCTTCTATTGTTCTTTTCTGTCCCTGCTTCAGGATAGAGGTGGAGGGGGAAGCTGAGGGGGACCACAACCCCCTGGTCCTGCCACTACTGGGGCTATGGCCCACCTCCAGCCCCAGCACAGCATCCTTCTGCATGGGTGGGGAGTCTTGGCACAACGTCTCTTTAGAGGTACTTGGGTCATGTAGAGGCACTGGGGATTCGTGAGGGTCAGAGGTCACAGGGGTAAAAGAGTTTAGAGGACATCGATCTAGGTCATTATGGTCCATCTGGGTTTCTTCACCCTCGAGGCCAGAGACATTGTCTGTTTTTGTCCTCTCTTGGAGAGGCACGATATCTTGAACGTTGTCCGCCTGAGGCTCAGTGTGGGTTTCTCTGGTTCTAGTAGAGGTGCTGTAAGACTCTGGCTGTCCTTTGATAGATGTGTACTGCTCCTCCCGGTGCTCCTCATCTAAGGCTTTGGAACACTCTGGCTGGGCTTGCCCAATAGACATGCCAACATCTTCCAGTTGGTCCTCCTCTAGAACATTGGCAGTAGAATCTGGATGTCTGTTCTCGTCTTCTCCCATCTGCTCATCTGTCACCTCATTGGAGACAGCCACAGGCTTAGGCCCATCGAAAACCTTCTCTGAGGACTCAGAGACCTGAAGACTCGGGCACAGTTTCTCCTCTGTTGCCTCAGTAGGTGAAGTATCTGTGGGGAGTCCATTGGCAATGGGAGGGGTACATAGTTTGTTTAGTCCATCTTCAGAGATGGCATTTCCTTCAGCGGAAGGCGTGGGAGAGTTGGCCTGCTCAGAGTCAGTGAGCAACTTACTTTGGAGCTGTGTTGGCCCATCACACTCTAGGTCACCATGGTTACTCTCCTGAGAGGAGACGGTGTTGAAATTCTCGATGTTTTTTGAATGTTTATGTCCATGTTCCTTCTTCCGTCGGGACATACACACATGCTGGCTCTTCATATGTTCTAGATCAGGTTCTACTGAAGAGTCCGTCTGTTGAGAAGAAAGCTTAGTATTCTCACTCTCAGACTTCTCTGGCACAACGGGGTCAACTGCCTCAACCACATCACCCTCCATATCTACCATGTCAGTGTCAGTCTCCCTCTGCCCCATATCTTTCTTAGTTATCAGAGGAAGTCTTGGAACTACCACTTCAGTTTTATGGGTTTCCTCCACATCCTGTGGAATCTTGACTTCTAAGGTCTCACTTGAAGTTGCAGAACTATCCATTGGGATCTCTTGGTCAGCCCCTGGCTCTGCTGATTCAACTGTAGCCAGCAGCCTTGGAAGAGCTCCAGGTGATGTGGGCTTCCTGCCTTTCTGGACATCCTCCCGGGTCTCTGAAGCATCCGACTCAGAGTTCTCCACGTTGGAGCCTAGTAAAGCCTGGGAGGCTCTACGCCTTGAAGTCCTTCCACTTCCTTGGGAGGATTCTGTATTTGCCATCTGTGAGTTCTCAGTCTCCATGTTAGGAGTTGGGCTAGGGCTGCTTCTGGCTTTTACCTGCTCCTCTAACATCTTGCTTCTCTTACTGGTTCTGCCCCTGGCCCTCAGCTGGCGGTCTGTTGGACTGGTGGCAGAAGGAGCGACCTGAGAATGAGTCTGGCTCATCTCTGGTGTTGCTGCGGAATCAGTGGCCAAATTTAGACGTATTTTGTCCTCAGACTCAGCCACTTCAATGGGCACCTTGCTCCTCCTGCTTGCTCTACCCTGTGACTGGCTCTCTTGTTGAGATGGTGTGGCTACATGTGAATCCATTTGGCTCGTCTTCCCCTCCACCTTCTGAGCCCTAATATTCCTTCGTTTCTGCCTGCAATCATTCTCCACTTCCACCTTACTCCTCTGACTACGTCTACTCTGTGATTGGCTATCATTATCAGAGGCAGAGGGGGTGTCCGTTTGAGAGTCACTTTGACTGAGCTCCTCCTCTGCAACGACTCTCTTTTGTTTGTCTTTGACCAGATCCTCTGATTTGCTGACCAATTTGTTGCTCCTCCTACTTGATACCCTGCTACCCTGTGATTGGCTGTTGACATCAGCAGCAGGTGAAGGAATGGCCACCAGTGAATTTGATTTGCTCGACTCGCTCTCCTCCTTGTGACTTCTCTTTCTCAGCTTGTCTTTTCCACGGTCCTCCACCTCAACAGCCAGCTTACTTCTCCTGCTTGTTCTACCTTGCGACTGACCATCTGCTTGACTGGCAGGAGAGGGCGCAGTCTTTGGTGAATCAGTTTGACTCTTCGCCTCCTCTTCGGGTTGAGACTTCTTCCTCCGTTTGTCTTTCTCTTCCCATTCCTCTGCATCTTCTCCTGGTCTCAATGGCCTGCTCCTCCGCCGTCCGGACCGCCTTGGTTCACCTTGGCTCAGAGCGGCCTGGGAACTGGGAGAACCTTCCAGAAGACCTTGAGATTCCTCTTCTTCCTGACTGTAGTTTTCCATTACTACTACTTCTTCAACTGCAGGAACTTCCTTCAGTATTTCCACCGGAGTCTGGGTGTCTGGGATGATGTCCTCGTCCTCTGTGGTTTCACTTGTTTTTTTCTCAGTGGGTTTCTCAACCTCAGATTGCTTTATGTCTTCTGAAGGTTCAGGTTTCTCTCCCTCTTTTTGGGAAGACTCATTCTTGGAGCTTTTACGTCTTGCTTGTTCAGTCTCCTGCGAGTCCTGTGGGTCTGTGTCAGCCTCTGCCGCTGGTTCCTGAGAGGAAGCCTCCTGCTCGGTCTCTGCCGCTGGTTCCTGAGAGGAAGCCTCCTGCTCCTGGCAGGTCTCTGCCGCTGGTTCCTGAGAGGAAGCCTCCTGCTCGGTCTCTGCCGCTGGTTCCTGAGAGGAAGCCTCCTGCTCCTGGCAGGTCTCTGCCGCTGGTTCCTCAGAGGAAGCCTCCTGCTCGGTCTCTGCCGCTGGTTCCTGAGAGGAAGCCTCCTGCTCCTGGCAGGTCTCTGCCGCTGGTTCCTGAGAGGAAGCCTCCTGCTCCTGGCAGGTCTCTGCCGCTGGTTCCTGAGAGGAAGCCTCCTGCTCCTGGCAGGTCTCTGCCGCTGGTTCCTGAGAGGAAGCCTCCTGCTCCTGGCAGGTCTCTGCCGCTGGTTCCTGAGAGGAAGCCTCCTGCTCCTGACCGGTCTCAGCCATTGGTTCCTGAGAGGAAGCCTCCTGCTCGTTCTCTGCCGTTGGTTCCTGAGAGGAAGCCTCCTGCTCCTGGCCGGTCTCTGCCGCTGGTTCCTGAGAGGAAGCCTCCTGCTCATTGCCGGTCTCTGCCGCTGGTTCCTGAGAGGAAGCCTCCTTGCCGGTCTCTGCCGCTGGTTCCTGAGAGGAAGCCTCCTGCTTCTGGCTGTTAGCTGTCCTGGTGAGGGGGCCTGTAAACGTCAACACGCTGGCAGGACTAGCAGGCTTCCCCTCAGCATACTTCTCCAGAGTGATGAAAGACTGGCGACGACTATTGGTTTTCTGAGGCGTCCCTGAGACCATGTCAGAGCCGCCAGAGACGTTAGGGCTGGTGCCCTCTCTGGTCTCCATGGCAGAGTCTTCCTCCAATGAAACATCTTCGCTGACATCATCCTCCATGGAAACGTCTGCAGACTCAGGAAGTACCTCGTCAGCAGGCTCCTCGTCTTCCTTTGCAGATTCTGCCGTCTCATTGGTTGGACTGATATATTCCTGGGTGTCGTCAGCAACGTCCTCCCCCATTTCCATGTCTCCCTCTGGAACCTGTGATAAAAAGAAGGAGACATTTGTATTTGGGGATTTTCACTTTCATTTGAAGAAAAAGCCTCTTGGCTTTGAAGGCATCCATTTTGTTTTCATTCAAATTAAAAGAGATTAAATCGGGCAAATAAGGACATTTCAGACCAAACATGCATTTCATAACAATGAATAGCTTTTGTTATTAATTTCTCTTTACCTCTGCTTTAACCTCATCTTTGGCTTGCTCATCTGCTGGCAATTTGTCCCTGAAAAAGAAATGCCTGTTTTCAACACTGGGTCCCCCACGAAGCAGTATTTCTTCATAGCTTAGTGTTATTCAGTGTAACGGCAGCAGCCAACAAGTACTTACAGTGATTCCTCCTGACTCTGTGTGTACTGGGTGAAGACCGTGGTATCAAGGGAAGCATCAAGGTTGTTGTACATGGCAGGGATGTCAACCCTTTCAAATTAAACCCATACAAAAGCATTGTTATTATACAGTGAGAAGAAAAACATTTCTATAACTTGATTTGCCTGCAACTTACCTTTTGGTTCTCTTGACCTCTTTCTGGTGCTCGGTGAGGACTCTCTCCTTGGTCTCAGGGGGGATGAACACAAAGTCTATAGAGGCCTGCTCCTCCAGTTCCTCTCTAGGAGGCGGCTTGGGAGAGCCAAAGTCCAGCTTCATCTGTTGGGGAGAGAATAGAAGTCAGCTCCAATAGGACACTGATGTGCTATAGTGTCAGAGACAACTTGTGCAGACTTTAATTTGAGGGTATTTTCATCCATATCGGGTGAACCATTTAGAAATTACAGCACTTTTTCCTACATAGTCCCCCCCATTTTAGGGAACCAAAAGTATTGGGACAAATTCACTTGTGTATTAGGTCCCATATTCCTAGCACACAATGACTACATCAAGCTTGGGACTCTACAAATTTGGATGCATTTGCTGTTTGTTTTGGTTGTGTTTCAGATTTTGTGCCCAATAGAAATGAATAGTAAATAATGTAGTGTGTCATTTTGGAGTCACTTTTATTGTATGATATTTATGCCTCTAACTTTCTCACTCATCATTATTCATGATTCATTCAGGATTATGCGTAATACTGGTAGCATCCAAATTAATGGAGAAGTGTTTAGAAACATTCTATTCTTAGTTAAAATAAAAGTGACTACAAAGTGAATCCAAAGCACTGGAGTACAGAGCCAAAACAACAAAACAAATTGTCAATGTCCCAATACTGTTGGAGCTCGCTGTATATGAAAGCTACCTAGCGTGAGCTCTGGTTCAGATGAGCATTGTGATAACTGCCGATTTAAAAACGACTTGGGTTCTGAGAATAGAGAACTAAATAAAAGAGATCCTTACAGAGACAGGCTTGGATGATGTATTGGAGTTCCTGTCCTTCATCTTTCCAGCCCTGGCCAGTAGAGAGTCTCTCTTCACCCCAGGAGTCACCTGCACTCCACTCAGCTTGGTCTCCAGCTGAGAGCTCTCACTCTGCGCCCACACCCAGAACATAATCCAGGGATTAGTAGACCATTCATATCAAACCTGCTAAAGTTTGACTTATTCAATAGGGAAAACACTCACAGAGTACTGTCCACTGAGCTCATCTGGAACTTCAACAGACTGAAAGCCAGGTAAGAGGATAGGAGTGTTCCGCTTTACCTGACTCAACACTGGCCTGGAAACAGAAAGAAGCAAGAGGAAACATGGAAACCTGATCGTTGGTTTAGGTCCAGACCTAGATTAAGCCTACCGCTGGCATAAAACACTTTTAATGGGTATGAACAAAACATTATTTGGCTCATACTTCAACTTCTAAATGTAGATTCTTACTTGAGTTCTTCTGGGTAGACGAGGACCAAAGCGTTAGCGAAGGTTGCGTTCCAGAACTGTGTGATGAGGGAGCGGACGTGCTTGCGCCGGTGGAGGAACAGGACACAGAGCAGGGGGGACAGCAGGGACAGTAGCTCATCATCATAGGCCAGGGCTGAACACGTCTGCAGGCAGCCCAACACATCACCCAGGAGCTTCTCCAGCTGGAAGGACAGGGAGGGGACACACAGAGTGAGACACGACCACCCAGACATTTCAAATCAAATTTTATTTGTCACATGCGCCGAATACAACAGGTGTAGACCTTACCGTGAAATGCTTACTTACAAGCCCTTAACCAATAATGCAGTTGAAGAAAGAGAGTTAAGAAAATATTTACTAAATAAACTAAAGTAAAAATAACGAGGCTATATACAGGGGGTACCGGTACCGAGTCAATTTGCGGGGCACAGGTTAAGCTGTTAAGGAGCCTTTTGGGCAAAGAAAGAAAATAGTTAACATTTTAACACACCTTTGCTCCAAGACTCGAGGTGAATTTCGGCTGCTCATTTGGAGTCCTCCCAGGCTGTTCATAGAGGGCTGCGAGGGGCTGTGTGAGAGAGGCCAGGGTCTCCTGGATGGCTGTAGCCAGGGCCAGATTAGAGAAAAGGGTAGAGAGGATGGAGACCAGGGCCAGGCCTGTACCCTCAGGGACAGTCTCAGGAGCCTCAACAGCATTAAAGGCCTCCAGGGCCTGGACCAGCAGGGTCTGGAAGTTAGACAGGTTCCCAAGAGCTTTGCTCTTCTTACGCACCCAGGTCAGAGGGGTGTGGGGAGCTGGAAGGGAAGGGAAGCATACATCAAGGCCACCCATGCGTAAAATTGATGTCTTTGGATAAAAGCGTCTGCATAATGAGATATCTATCTACATAAACTCAGCAAACAAAGAAAATGTCCCTTTTTCAGGACCCTGTCTTTCAAAGATAATTCGTAAAAATCAAAATAAACTTCACAGATCTTCATTGTAAAGGGTTTAAACACGGTTTCCCATGCATGTTCAATGAACCATAAACAATTAATGAACATGCACCTGTGGAACGGTCATTAAGACACTAACAGCTTACAGACGGTAGGCAATTAAGGTCACAGTTATGAAAACTTAGGACACTAAAAAGAGGCCTTTCTACTGACTCTGACAAACACCAAAGAAAGATGCCCAGGGTCCCTGCTCATCTGCGTGAACGTGCCTTAGGCATGCTGCAAGGAGGCATGAGGACTGCAGATGTGGCCAGGGCAATAAACTGCAACGTCCGTACTGTGAGACGCCTAAGACAGCGCTACAGGGAGACAGGACGAACAGCTGATCGACCTCGCAGTGGCAGACCACGTGTAACAATACCTGCACAGGATCGGTACATCCGAACATCACACCTGCGGGACAGGTACAGGATGGCTACAACAACTGCCCGAGTTACACCAGGAACGCACAATCCCTCCATCAGTGCTCAGACTGTCCGCAATAGGCTGAGAGTGGCTGGACTGAGGGCTTGTAGGCCTGTTGTAAGGCAGGTCCTCATCAGACATCACCGGCAACAACGTTGCCTATGGGCACAAACCCACCGTCGCTGGACCAGACAGGACTGGCAAAAAGTGCTCTTCACTGATGAGTCGCGGTTTTGTCTCACCAGGGGTGATGGTCAGATTCGCGTTTATCATCGAAGGAATGAGCATTACACCGAGGCCTGTACTCTGGAGCGGGATCGATGAGGAGGTGGAGGGTCCGTCATGGTCTGGGGCGGTGTGTCACCGCATCATCGGACTGAGCTTGTTGTCATTGCAGGCAATCTCAATGCTGTGCGTTACAGGGAAGACATCCTCCTCCCTCATGTGGTACCCTTCCTGCAGGCTCATCCTGACATGACCCTCCAGCATGACAATGCCACCAGCCATACTGCTCGTTCTATGCATGATTTCCTGCAAGACAGGAATGTCAGTGTTCTGCCATGGCCAGCGAAGAGCCCGGATCTCAATCCCATTGAGCACGTCTGGGACCGGTTGGATTGGAGGGTGAGGGCTAGGGCCATTCTCCCCAGAAATGTCCGGGAACTTGCAGATGCCTTGGTGGAAGAGTGGGGTAACATCTCACAGCAAGAACTGGCAAATCTGGTGCAGTCCATGAGGAGGAGATGCCCTGCAGTACTTAATGCAGCTGGTGGCCACACCAGATACTGACTGTTACTTTTCATTTTGATCCCCCCTTTGTTCAGGGACACATTATTCCATTTCTGTTAGTCACATGTCTGTGAAACTTGTTCAGTTTATGTCTCAGTTGTTGAATCTTATTATGTTCATACAAATATTTACACATGTTAAGTTTGCTGAAAATAAACGCAGTTGACAGTGAGGACGTTTCTTTTTTTGCTGAGAGAGAGAGAGATTATATATCTCTTACATTTCATCTTCTGTTGAAACTGTGGAGTGTAGGGAGAGAAATCAGAACTCTCAATGATGACCAGGAGGATGTTAGCAACCGCATCCAACGTTGACGGAACCTGAAGAAGAAAAAAGATCATAATACGATCAATGAACCTGAACAATGAAAATGATTGTGCAGCAGTATAATATTCTTATTCAATCCCGGTAAATTAGATAACAGTTAGGTGTTGGTAGAGTAAGCTCACCCTCAGGGCCTTCCTGTCCAATAGGGCAGCCATCTTGCCACACAGCTCCTCACAGCAGACATTCTCCTCGGCAGTGGCCACCAGGGCAGAGCAGCAGGCAAACACCTTATACAGCCTGGACCACGTACCCAGCATGGACTTCTGGGTCATCTACAGAGGAGGCAAAATCAGTGTTTGAGATTGACCACATTGACTGAATTAATTTAGTGGGTGCTTATATTTGTCCTATTGGAAATGTGTTTTTTTGCAAATCCCAACTCTCCCCGAGACACCCTCGAAGAGTGGGGTCATGGCCAGGGAGAGACATTATCAACAGCGACCCTGGAGCAATTAGGGTTAAGTACCTTGCTCGAGGGCACAGACAGATTTTTCACCTTGTCGGCTCGGGCCTCGGAACAAGCAACCTTTCGCTTACTGGCCCAACGGTCTAACCCAGGGTTTCCCAAACGCGGGTCCTCAGGACCCCAAGGGGTGCAGGTTTTGTTTTTTGCCCTAGCACTACACCGCTTATTCAAACAATCACCAAGCTTTGATAATTGGAATCAGCTGTGTAGTGCTAGGGGGGAAAAAAAAACTAAACTTGCATTCCTGAGGACAGAGTTTGGGAAACACTGCTCTAACCGATAGGCTACCACACGCCCTTGCAGTGGGACAGCCCATAATAATTTATCCCCAAATCCTCCTGCATCCCAAATAACTACTCTAGTGATCCAAATGAGCAAAGCACTGAATGAATTCATAGTCGCCAACTTGATAAATCCAATAGCATGACCTTGTCATCTCCATGTAATCTCTGAGAGACTCACCTGTGGCAGGGCCTTGCCAGGTAGCAGGTGTATGATGGGGAACATCAGGGCATTGTGCACAGCACTGAAGTTGTGCTCCAGAGCATCCCCTTGGTTCACCTCATTGCTCTGTGTCAGGGAGGGAGCAAAACCTTATTAATTAAAACCAATCTCCATCGCATTTGTGCAATGCACAGGATAATAAAAATCATAATAGTAGTTTGTTTATTGCGTCCACTTGATGAAATTGGTCTTGCATCTCAACACAAACAAGCACCGTATTCAGTGCAGTTATATGCCATTTATTTACAGTGTGTCCACTTCATACCTGTGTGATGGTAACAGTCAGTGGGTTGACCACCACGCTCCACATCCTCCAAAGCTGTTCCTTGTTCCCCAGAGTCCCCACGCTGCGCCCCACCGCCCCCAGGACTGCCTCCCCAAACGCCAGAGGGGACGTAGGGCCGGACAGACCACAGCTCACCAGCGTCTCCAAACACAGGAAGAACCTGTGGGGGTGCAGAGAACTCAAATAGGACAGGAACAACATACACTATATGGCCAAAGGTATGTGGACACCCCTTCAAATTAGTGGATATGGCTATTTCAGCCACACCCGTTGCTGACAGGTGTATAAAATCAAGCACACAGCCATGCAATCTCCATATACAAACATTGGCAGTAGAATGGCCCTGTACTGAAAACATCAGTGACTTTCAACGTAGCGCCGTCATAGGATGACACTTTTCCAACAAGTCAGTTTGTCAAATTTCTGCCCTGCTAGAGAACTGCCCAGGTCAACCGTAAGTGCTGCTATTGTGAAGTGGAAACATCTAGTAGCAACAACGTCTCAGTTGAAGTGGTAGGCCACACAAGCTCACAGAACGGGACTGCCAAATGCTGAAGCACGTAAAAATCGTCTGTCCTCTGTCCGCAACACCCACTACCGAGTTCCAAACTGCCTCTGGAAGTAACGTCAGCAGAAGAACAGCTCATCGGGAGCTTCATGAAATGGGTTTCCATGGCCGAGCAGCCACACACACACACAAGCCTAAGATCACCATGCGCAATGCCAAGTGTCGGCTGGAGTGATGTAAAGCTCGCAGCCATTGGACTCTGAAGCAGTGGAAACGCATTCTCTGCAGTGGTGAATCACGTTTCACCATCTGGCAGTCCGACGGACGAATCTGGGTTTGGCAGATGCCAGGAGAACGCTACCTGCCCCAATGCATAGTGCCAACTGTAAAGTTTGGTGGAGGAGGAATAATGGTCTGGGGCTGTTTTTCATGGTCCGGTCTAGGCCCCTTAGTTCCAGTGAAGGGAAATCTTAACGCTACAGCATACAATGACATTCTAGACGATTCTGTGCTTCCAACTTTGTGGCAACAGTTTGGGGAAGGCCCTTTCCTGTTTCAGCATGACAATACCCCTGTGCAAAAAGCAAGATCCATACAGAAATGGTTTGTCGAGATCAGTGTGGAAGAACTTGACTGGCCTGCACAGAGCCCTGAACTCAACCCCATCAAACACCTTTGGGATGAATTGGAATGCCGACTGCGAGCCAGGCATCAGTGCCCGATTTCACTATTGCTCGTGGCTGAATGGAAGCAAGTCCCCGAAGCAATGCTCCAACATCTAGTGGAAAGCCTTCCCAGAAGAGTGGAGGCTGTTATCGCAGCAAAGGGGGGACCAACTCCATATTAATGCCCATGATTTTGGAATGAGGTGTTCGACTTTTGGCCATGTAGTGCATGTGGATTTTGCCTACCTCCTGAATGCACTGACTGGAAGTCATTATGGATAAGATGGTCTGCTAAATGACTAATATGTAAATGTATTCCCAAGCATTGAGCATGACACAGACATTGCTCGTCCTAATATTTCTTAATTCCATTATTTTACTTTTTAGATTAGTGTGTATTGTTAGATATTACTGCACTGTTGGAGCTAGGAACACAAGCATTTCGCTACACCCGCAATATGCTAAACATTTGATTTGTCTGTAACGCTGGTTGCAAAACTCAAGGAACAATCCTTTTAGTTTGAAGTTCTTGGAAGTGGTAAGCCCCAGGAGACATTTGTTTATGGTTAGACAGAGGAAAGGAAGAGACTACAGTCAAGGGGAAACCCACCTCTCATCTTCTACGAACCCTGCCACTAGACTGCTGTTGTAGAACAGGAGAATCAGGAACAGAGCTGGGGTTCCCTGGGGGCAGAGATGGCAGAGTAACCAAACCAGGCCCAGGACCACACAGCATCCACAACACTAATTGACTAACACAGAGATTTCCTAAGAGCCCCATGCATCAAAGACTGCAGGACGTTAATTCACAGTGATCTAGAGAAGACATCTTTATAGAGCAGGTCACAGGGTTGGCATCCCTATGGCATCAGGGCAAGTCATCAGGAACCTTCTTATTTCAGCTTTCACAGGTGCGATTTATTTCAGATTTATCATGTGCAACAGAGGATGGAGCCAGAACTAGCAGGGAGCGAATGGATGGACAGATTGTATTTCAATGTATAAGTTACGTAACCCAATGACCAGGAAGAGAGTAGCTACAGACACTCACGTTCAAAATATCCATTTTGCCCACTTGGTAAGAGGCAGATCCCAGTATCCTCGGAGGGATCCCATTCACTGTCATTTCCAGCAGACTCTGCATACAGAGAAATAAATAAGAAAGCATACAAGGGTTAAACAAGCTTAGAGGAGAGTTTTAGGGGAATGACATACTAACATGGGCTAGCAGCAGACAATCAGACCTGGTTGGAGCATATAGATACACATTCCATTTAATTCTGAGGGTTGGAAGAGGTTTAATAGAGGGGTAGAGAGGCAGGTCTTACCAGAGCCCTGTGTGCAGGGAGGGCCTCTGAGGAGATGACGCTCTGTAGCGCCTGCAGTAGCAGGGTGAGGACTTCAGAGCCCTGTCGCTCCTTCTTATGGCCAGCTGTCACAAAGGTACAAGGGACAGGATGAGACAGTCGTTTGAAGACACCAGGGCTCTTTCTCAAGTCGCCTTTCCTCAATTCCTCGAAGCCTCACTCTGTGCCACCTCCTCAAAACGCATTGGAGGAAAAGGTCAGAGGGGAGGGACTTCGGATTTTCTCATCCAACACATTTTGAAGAGGAGAAACTAAAACATGGAAAATCCTTTCTGTAATTTCTTTGAATGGTCATCACTGGGGACTGGCCCCTCAGATTTCATTCCTCGTCACAGTGGTTCCAAACGCGAAGGTCCACTCAGACTTAAACTGATGACAGTGGTGTTGGACCTGGGGTGGGGGAGGCTTGTCTCTCTCAGCTCTCCCCCCTGACAGACAGGACCCAAGCCCAGCTGTGGTACTCTGTGTGGGGCGCCAGGGCTGACCCATGGCTGGAAGGGTCAGTCCAATTGGGCAGCAGCCACAGAACAGAACATTATTTGCTAACTAAATGAAGATGGAGTGAGGTTAAACTAAGGCATTCCTCATCCAGCAGAGTGGGGGCAGCTTGGGGATCTAGTCTATATTTCAGTAATAGCACACTTCCACTGGTCAACTAAATCACTAAACCCTTCATTAGTTGAATTAGCTGTGCCAGTGCTATAAAACATCAAATAAGTAGAATGGCTGGGGATACTCTAGGAGAGGTTTGAGGAGTTAGCCAAGGCTGAAACTAGCTGACGAGTGAGTGAGGTTACAGAGTTTCCTGGATGACCTGCAGGCTTACATCATGGTGGTGGTGGTGGGTTCTTCTCTCTCTCTAACCACTAACCACTAACAGGCCCTCCACTGTTCTACTGCATGCAATCTGTTCAGTGGGGGGTAGAGGGGTGACGTGGGGGGTGACGCTGTGATGTGGTTGACTTTGGCTGGTACTTACCAGCATCAATCGTTGTGCTTACGAAACTTACAAGGTTCTTCCATATAAGGGCAAGCAAGGCCTCTGCAGGGGAGAGAGAGAACACGCGAGTCACCCCACATGAAGTGGCAGTCATTCAACCCCCCACGCATGGACTTCTACACACACACACACACACACAATTGTTCCTTCCTTCCAACTCCCCTGTAGCGACTCTCAGAACCTGTTTCCAATTACTAGTCCATGTGAGGGAGCCCCTCTAAGCCAGCAAGTCAAGCCAGAGCTATCCTATCATTTTTACATTTACGTCATTTAGCAGACGCTCTTATCCAGAGCCACTTAGTTAGTGAGTGCATACATTATTTAATTTATTTTTCATACTGGACCCCCCGTGGGAATCGAACCCACAACCCTGGCGTTGCAAACACCATGCTCTACCAACTGAGCTACATCCCTGCCAGCCATTCCCTCCCATACCCTGGACGACGCTGGGCCAATTGTGCGCCGCACCATGGGTCTCCCGGTCGCGGCAGACTACGACAGAGCCTGGATTCGAACCTCTAGTGGCACAGCTAGCACTGCGATGCAGTGCCTTAGACCACTGCGCCACTCGTGGAGAGAGCACTGAGCAGTAACAAACACATTTTTGGAGGCCGGCGCCTCTGCTCCTAGAGGAAGGCCAGCTGAATAGAATTCATAGTGGAAGGAAGTTAGGCCTACATTTTTCCTAACTGGACTACAGGTGATGTGTGCCCTCTTCCTGACTAGCTGACAGGCAGAGGAATAAACTACTACACACTCTGAGGCAGGTTCTGAACGTGTGTTTGAGACTACATACAATGGCTCTACTGTACAGGAGCCAAAATGGCCGAAATAGAGCCATTATGGCTGCCATAGAGCCTATGCTAATGTCAGTTGCAGTGATTTACTTGAGGGCAGGTAGGTACCTGGGGCGTCTTTGCCGATGCAGATGAAGCTGTCGCGGACCATGGAGATGAGCAGAGAGGCGTACTTGGTGAAGGAGGGGGGGCTGGACAGGAAGGGGTGAATCAGAGGTTCTGCCAAAACAATACAAAGGAGTCAGTCATTTCAGAGAACCAGGCAAGCAGGTTCCAATTGGAACATATTTATCTGACGCATAAATACAGTTTACTGTAAAGGTATTGGCATATGTGAAAGGCATGTCATCCTGCTGTAATACAAATATGGGTTTCTGTGTAGTGTGTTGACACTTGTGAAATGCACGTAAAATAAATTGGTGACTTGACGTGGATTAAATATTTTCTACACCCAGTCACAGGTTCACCTGGCAAAGAATTTAACATTTACAAACAGCATCACTGAGTAGCGACAGAGGCTGTGATAGCGTTACATTTGAATAATTTAGCTCTTAACTAGAGCGACTTAGTTCAGTGCATTCAACTAAAGTAGGTAAAACAACCACGCGTCTCTCACCCAGGCTGAGCGTCAGTTTGTTCTTGGCAGCGGCGGCAGTGACCTCTGACCCTAGGAAGTAATGCAGCAGCATCTCTAATCCCAGCAGTTGTATAGAGGGGTAGGCCTGGCCTGCCACCACACTGCAGTTCAGGCTCAGACGGGGCATCACCGTAGGGCTCGAGAACGCTGGGGCACCTGGTGGGGCGGGGGGCAGAGCAATAAAGGGGGACAAATTCAGTTATCGTCAATTAACAAAGGTGACATTTAGGACATTTTTACATCCAACATTTCCACAATTCTCTGGTGGCACTTTTCAGGTAAATCCAAGATTACCATTCAAAGAGAGCTTTTCTATATTCTAGGTAAAGAGAATTATATACTGAAATTACATACTGATATGTCACACATGCATGTGTGCAAATTATGAAAACCAACAGCTAGAAGCAATCAATCTTCATAATATTAGCGAAGAGACAAGACAATGGAGGAAGATAGTAAGACATAACTAGTTGTAGGTGTAGTGGTCCCCACAGTAGACATAACTAGTTGTAGGTGTAGTGGTCCCCACAGTAAGACATACTAGTTGTAGGTGTAGTGGTCCCCACAGTAAGACATTACTAGTTGTAGTGTAGTGGTCCCCACAGTAAGACAATACTAGTTGTAGGTGTAGTGGTCCCCACAGTAAGACATTACTAGTTGTAGGTGTAGTGGTCCCCACAGTAAGACATTACTAGTTGTAGGTGTAGTGGTCCCCACAGTAAGACATACTAGTTGTAGGTGTAGTGGTCCCCACAGTAAGACATTACTAGTTGTAGGTGTAGGTGGTCCCCACAGTAAGACATTACTAGTTGTAGGTGTAGTGGTCCCCCACAGTAAGACATTAACTAGTTGTAGGTGTAGTGGTCCCCACAGTAAGACAATACTAGTTGTAGGTGTAGTGGTCCCCACAGTAAGACATAACTAGTTGTAGGTGTAGTGGTCCCCACAGTAAGACAATTACTAGTTGTAGGTGTAGTGGTCCCCACAGTAAGACATAACTAGTTGTAGGTGTAGTGGTCCCCACAGTAAGACATTACTAGTTGTAGGTGTAGTGGTCCCCACAGTAAGACATAACTAGTTGTAGGTGTAGTGGTCCCCACAGTAAGACATAACTAGTTGTAGGTGTAGTGGTCCCCACAGTAAGACATAACTAGTTGTAGGTGTAGTGGTCCCCACAGTAAGACATTAACTAGTTGTAGGTGTAGTGGTCCCCACAGTAAGACATTACTAGTTGTAGGTTTAGGTGTAGTGGTCCCCACAGTAAGACATTACTAGTTGTAGGTGTAGTGGTCCCCACAGTAAGACATTACTAGTTGTAGGTGTAGTGGTCCCCACAGTAAGACATTACTAGTTGTAGGTGTAGTGGTCCCCACAGTAAGACATTACTAGTTGTAGGTGTAGTGGTCCCCACAGTAAGACATTACTAGTTGTAGGTAGTGGGACTAGTTTGTAGTGTAGTGGTCCCCACAGTAAGACATACTTTGTAGGGGTAGTGGTCCCCACAGTAAGACATACTAGTTGTAGGTGTAGTGGTCCCCACAGTAAGACTACAGTTGTAGGTGTAGTGGTCCCCACAGTAAGACATACAGTGTAGTGTAGTGGTCCACAGTAAGTTAGTTGTAGTGTAGTGGTCCCCACAGTAAGAATAACTAGTTGTAGGTGTAGTGGTCCCCACAGTAAGACTACCAGTTGTAGGTGTAGTGGTCCCCACAGTAAGACATTACTAGTTGTAGGTGTAGTGGTCCCCACAGTAAGACATAACTAGTTGTAGGTGTAGTGGTCCCCACAGTAAGACTACCAGTTTTAGGTGTAGTGGTGCCCACAGCACTGCTCTGAATGGAGCTCCAGGCAGGAGTAGCTGGGAAGGCCGAGTCAGTGCCCAGGGTGCACTGGAGCAGAGGAACACCAACCTGAAAACACACCGAGACTATTGGTCAGCAACACAAGATTGCTTGAGCAGGCCATATCCAATCACAAAACAACAATTTGGCGATGATCACGCTCCATGCACCACACACACAAGATTACAACTGTTATGACAAGATCGAATCTCAAACTTCATCTCAATAAAATGTTATAATAGGCCTAATTTATTAACTTGATCATCATTCCTTATTAACAAATCCTGCTCGGAATCTGAATACATCATTAAGCCACATTTGGTAGTCCAGCATAAACGTAACAAAACACTATTTTTCCACAAACACATTAAAACAGACACATAATAACAAACCAATACAAATTAAAACCCTTTTCATACCTGTTCAAAGTGTGCAGGCAGGTTGGCTCCCAGTTTGACCACCAGATACCACCAGACCTCCAGCTTGGTGAGCAGGAGGGCCTCAGTCCTCACCTGGATGGAGCTGAGGGGCTGCATCAGCAGCTTTAGACGCTTGGCACTGCACAGGATCTCTACAGCACGGGACGGGTCAGTGAATCAGTTTGCAAACAATCTGACACTCTGAATAGAGTATACAGTCTACTCTAATCAGAGTAAGTGTTCTCTACAGCAAAGAGTGCATGGAGAGAGTGGATGTTAACAAGAGCATTTAGTTAGCCACACACTTTCTGTCGTACAGCCCTCCATTAAGTTCTGTCTAAAAGAAGCAACCGGTCAAAAAGACTTGAAGAAGTAATGAATGGCACACTGTTGTATTGTGCGTTTCCCACCTGGGTTGAGGGCGAAGTTGTCTATGAGGCTCTTCCAGGCGATGAAGGCGATCTTCTTGATGTTGGGGGAGGAGCTACGGAAGCCCAGTTCCTCCAGGCCAAGCAGGGAGTTGATGAAGGGACCACCTCTATGGAGCAGCTGGGGGAGCAGGCGAAAGACAATGACTGTCAACTGTCAGACGCTGAAACGTGTATTTCCCCTTTATCCCAACGCTCCGAGACACAAGGTAGGGAGGAACCAATCAAATGGATGTTACGCAATGATTCATTACACTCCTGAGAGCCTGACATGTAAGCATCTCCTGAGGATTCAAACCATGCAGCCTCACCTTCCCTAGGAGCCTAACAAACAACGGCCAGAGTTTCAGAACATTGGTCTCGTTCTTCGTAGAGAACAGTTTCTGGAGCTCTGGGATGAGTTTCTGGAGCAAAACAAGAACAACTGTCAGATCGTGAAGAAATGAGCATCAAAAGACTTGCACTCATTGTATTGTAAGTGTGTGTTAGTGGCAGACAGAGAGCAGTAACATTATTTAGATATAATCATCTAAATACATGGCTCTGGTAGGGAGTATAAAGACACTTACTGAGGACATGATGGGTTCTATGATGGCTGCCACCTCCTTCTGCTTCTCCATTAGTAGAGGTAGACCCATCTCTAGGGCTGCTGCCGCCCGCAGGCGCACCTTAGAGGCTGAGTGGACCACCAGAGGGATGACCAGCTTGGCCCACTGCACTGCACCCTCACCCATCTGGGCTGGGGCCTGGTCCAGCAACCTACCCACATACAGAGGAGGGTCAAGACAGAGAAAGAGCTGATGATCACTGAAATACTGTCAGGACAGTATTTTCCAGCCCCGAGAGCTTTGAGCACTATCCAAAACAGAGACAGAGCGTTAACCAAGGTAGACTACAATAACAATCTGCTTAGTGTCAGGGTTATCACACTGAACCATTCAATTGTGCATTCCTAAATGAGGGTCATATAGCCAATCAAAGCTATTGTTTACAAGGCAGGAGAGTACATGAGTGGGTGGTTTTGTTTACCTTATGATAACGTTCAACGACTCGTGCTCCATGACAACAGACTGGATGTCTTCTCTAGTCCGTATACACTCCAGGGTCCTCAGGATCTCTGGAACCATCTCGGCCACCACCTCTGGAGTGAAGTTCTGTTTGGAGATTACCCATAATGCTCTGGTGCATGTGTTCTTGTCTGTAGACTTCACCACCAGAGAGGAAAGTGCTGACAGTAGCTCCTCTGCTAAATTAGCTGGAGAAAGAGAAAGCCAAAGAAAACCCTGTTTCAAATTATGCGATCTCCATTCTTACAAGGCTTGTTTCCAGAACAAAGTCTAGGCTTATCTGTCAGGTAAACCAGTCCCATGTAAACCTATGAAGTATTCTACTTGTTCAGTACCTGGGATAGCCGAGACGACGTTCGCATGGAACACACAGAACCCCAGGGCCTGCAGTGCTGCCTGGCTCAGCTCTGCATTCTGACTGGAGATATGAGTCTAAAACAACATCACAACATGACAATCCTTTAGTCAATGAAAGCTTTAAATGTTTTTTTTGCTTTATAAATATTATTCACATAAAGCATGCACTCACCTGGAAAGTTTTACCCAAACGTGAGAAATGCTTCACAACGGCAGGGAGAAACTGTGTTCCATCATCTCCACTGAGACGACTGACGACAAAGCAAAGCCAGCAAACACATACAGTGAACATTTAGGATGGAAACAGACGTCTTATAAGTGTTGCAGATCTACCCCCTACCTCAGCTCATTAGAGAAAAACATACACCTGACATGCACTTCGATCAGCATCTAGGGATAACGAGGTCATCATAGGCTACATATGTCCATCTAAAGTACCTACTTGACAATGGTGAGGTAGGCGTCTGTCTGCTCCGGCTGTCCGGCTGTGATATCCTCCAGAGATTCCAGCAGAGGGAGGAGACTGGAGCTGTTCAGGGGCACCGTCGCCATCATCCTGGTTCCTCTCACACCTACAGCTGTGGCGGTCATTACATTTTGTCAGCCGTGATTGTCATGCAAATAACTGCCGGTCTCACAGTAATCGACCGTTAATTAACAAACACGTTTATAGCATCTCCTGGCTTCCACGCATAGCCTACAAGCCACTGACGCAGACCTTTGGAACATCTACATAAAAAATAAAGTATAATAAATCCATTTAACATAGCCCACACCATAAGGAGGACAGAAATGGGCTACATTTTCTTTATACCTGCCTACAATAAATTAATTATTTATCATGTTCTTTAGACCTGCCTACAATAAATCCATTATTTATTGTAGGCAGGTCTAAAGAAACATGATAAAGAAAATGTAGCCCATTTCTGTCCTCCTTATGTTAGGCTATGCCATATGGCTGTGGGCTACACTAGTTCATTTAGCATGCAAGATTTTCTTATCATTCTCGTGGCATTACTTTACACTTAAAAATATAAACGCAACATGTAACGTGTTGGTCCCATGTTTCATTAGCTGAATAAAAATAACCCCAACATTTTCCCCATACACACAAAAAGCTTATTTCGCTCTAATTCTGTGCACAAATGTGTTTACATCCCTGTTCGTGAGAATTTCTCCTTCACCAAGATAATCCATCCACATGACAGGTGTGGCATATCAAGAAGCTGATTAAACAGCATGATCATTACACAGGTGCACCTTTGTGCTGGGGACAATAAAAGGCCACTCTAAAATGTGCCGTTTTGTCACGCAACACAATGCCACAGAGGTCTGAAGTTGAGGGAGCTTGCAATTGGCACGCTGACTGCAGGAATGTCCACCAGAGTTTTTGCCAGAGAATCTAATGTTAATTTCTCTACCATAAACGTTGTTTTAGAGAAGTTAACAGTACTTCCAACAAGCCTCAACCTCAGTCCACGTGTAACCACGCCAGCCCAGGACCTCCACATGCGGCTTCTTCACCTGTGGGATCATCGGAGACCAGTCACCCGGACAGCTGATGAAATTGTGGGTTTCACAAAAGAAGAATTTCTGCACAAACTGTCAGAAACCGTCAGAGAAGCTCATCTGCGTGCTCGTCATCCTCACCAGGGTCTTGACCTGACTGCAGCTCCGCATCGTAACAGACTTCAGTGGGCAAATGCTCACCTTCGATGGCCACTGGCACGCTGGAGAAGTGTACTCTTCCCGGATGAATCCCAGTTTCAACTGTACTGGGCAGATGGCAGACAGTGTATGGTATCGTGTGGGCGAGCGGTTTGTTGATGTCAAAGTTGTGAACAGAGTGCCCCATGGTGGCGGTGGGGTTATGGTGTGGGCAGGCATAAGCTAAAGACAACAAACACAATTCCATTTTATCTATGGAAATTTGAATGCACAGAGATACCGTGACGAGATCCTGAGGCCCATTGTCGTGCCATTAATCTGCCGACATCGCCTCATGTTTCAGCATGATAATGCACAGCCCCATGTCGCAAGGATCTGTACACAGTTCCTGGAAGCTGGAAATGTCCCAGTTCTTCCATGGCCTGCATACTCAGACATGTCACCCATTGAGCATGTTTGGGATGCTCTGGATCGACGTGTAAGACAGCGTGTTTCAGTTCCCGCCAATATCCAGCAACTTTGCACAGCCATTGAAGAGGGGTGGGACAACATTCCACAATCAACAGCCTGATCAACTCTATGCATTTACATCATTTAGGGGGGTAGAAGGATTACTTTATACTATTCCAGGTATTCCTTAAAGAGGTAGGGTTTCAAGAGTCTCCGGAAGGTGGTCAGTGACTCCGCTGTCCTGGCGTCGTGGGGGAGCTTGTTCCACCATTGGGGTGCCAGAGCAGCGAATAGCTTTGACTGGGCTGAGCGGGAACTGTGCTTCCGTAGAGGTAGGGGAGCTAGCAGGCCAGAGGTGGATGAACATAGTGCCCTCGTTTGGGTGTAGGGTCTGATCAGAGCCTGAAGGTAAGGAGGTGCCGTTCCCCTCACAGCTCCGTAGGCAAGCATCATGGTCTTGTAGTAGATGCGAGCCTCAACTGGAAGCCAGTGGAGTGTGCGGAGGAGCGGGGTGACATGAGAGAACTTGGGAAGGTCGAACACCAGACGGGCTGCGGCGTTCTGGATAAGTTGTAGGGGTTTAATGGCACAGGCAGGGAGCCCAGCCAACAGCGAGTTGCAGTAATCCAGACAGGAGATGACAAGTGCCTGGATTAGGACCTGTGCCGCTTTCTGTGTAAGGTAGGGTCGTACTCTGCGAATGTTGTAGAGCATGAACCTGCAGGATCGGGTCACCGCTTTGATGTTAGCGGAGAACAACAGGGTGTTGTCCAGGGTCACGCCAAGGTTCTTCTATGCGAAGGAGATGTCGCGCTGCATGAAGCAAATGGAAGTCACACCGGATACTGATAGGTTCTGATTCATGCACCTTTTTTTTAAAGGTATCTGAGATCAGATGTATATGTGTATTCCCAGTCTTGCAAAATCCATAGATTAGTGCCTAATTAATGTATTTCTATTGACTGGTTTCCTTATATTAACTGTAACTCAGTAAAATCTTCGAAATTGTTGCATGTTGCGTTTATATTTTTGTTCAGTGTATATTATTTTATAGTAAGAGGAATACAATTGAACATAGCTGAATTAAATAGAAGGGATATTTTACCCAAATGGTTTCCGAGGGTGTGTGCACATGCGGCTATTCTGTGTTGAGTGGTTAAAGAAACAGGTCCTCCCCCTAAATGCTTAATTTAGAGTTACATTTCAGTCATTTAGCAGACGCTCTTATCCAGAGCGACTTACAGGAGCAATTAGGGTTAAGTGCCTTGCTCAAGGGCACATCGACAGATTTTTCACCTAGTCGGCTCGGGGATTAGAACCAGCGACCTTTCGGTTACTGGCACAACGCTCTTAACCACTAAGCTACCTGCCGCCCCAGTTACTTATGCTTGTGATAAACGTTAGGCTATGTTTAGATTTTTAATACAATCTAAGGCAGCATGATGCGACACTAATGATTTGAAAAAAGTTGCATTAAAGGCACGAGTTCTGCTGTGTTTCTTGTGCAGGTTGCACACACCTCAGTTATATTTTGTGGGATTCAAACCCACAACCCTGGCGTTGCAAGTGCCATGCTCTACCAACTGAGCCACACGGCACATATTCACCATTTATCATTGTTGGGTCATTGCTACTTAAGTTCATTTTTAGAAAATAATTTCCTACTCCAGTTTAGATGGACATTATATAATATTTGTGTCTCCCCTTCTCAACGTCGTTTTTATTTCTTTGTCAGTATAGGCTACCCTGTAATTTGTCCTATTAAAAAAGATTCTGCTAATGTCTCCAGTCATATAAAGTGTAGTAGAACTGCATGAAATGTGTTTATAAGTCACAATTTTTCCATACAAAGAAAGAAACTTATCAGATATAGTCCATAGCCTACTCTATGCACTCAACCATGCATTGAACTGACTTTTTTTGCAAACAGTGATTTTGTTATATTATTAGCCTAAATTATGACAACCAATCTACTCATCACATTATGAATAGTACACTATCTTACATAAGTCTGCAAATGCTCAGACATGGAATACTTTATTATAAAGGTGCATTTTTATGGTGAAAATTTGCTTCCCCAAACTTGACAGGTAGGCTACACCGGTTGTAATGCGGATTAATGTGTACATTTAAGAACTGAGCAATAAATATAACAGCACGAGAAAGCTGGCATCTTTTAAATAGTGTCCAGTCAAAACTCTGTTTTCACACGCGATAGCGCAATGACTCGGTTTATAAGAACACGTTTCACTAGGATCTGTGCTCTTCAAACGTGTTTCTGGGGTCCTAGCTCTATAGGCTACGTTTTTAGTTATTTGGCCACTTTAGTTGTGATACAAACCTTATCAAATCATATGGGCCTATGGTCTAGGCTACATGATGCATGCGACTATGATTTGGAAAAAGTAACAGTGTAACGTATAAAAGAGGGGTCAGGCTGGGCATCACTGCCAGAATCAAAACATCACTTATCTGTACCATTTAATCCTTTTAGCTAATTTACCCGCTTCTAACTACAGGCCATTAGCTGGTAACTGGTCAACATACAGGACTGGGCATCTACACAAGCGTAATACTGTAACTTATTTTCTAAAAATAGATATCAAATCTAACTTACCTGAAGTTTACAAACACTAGCCAAGGCAAATAGTTAAACGTTAGCTAGCTAGCTACAACATAAACATCGGGCAACGTGGCAAACTCACGGCTAGGGTTGGTTTGATGTTCTTCGACAATTTTGCTAATTAACATCAAACGATATAGCTGACAATTGTCAAGAATACCCGTAGCTTGCTAACGTTAACTAGTCATCCATCAAATTAGCTGGCTAGCAAACAAGTGCAGCCAATTCACTTTCACTGAGCGAGCTGGTTAGCTAGTTAGCCACAAAATGTGTTAGCTTGCTAGTTTACCTAGCCATCTAATAGCAATACCAAATATACGTATATTCCCAATTTACTAAATCATTTAGAATGACAGCACTGTCAAAACTAATACTGGTAATTGTAATTTCCCATGATTATTTTTTCTTCTTCTAGCAAGTCACTCCCTCCGCTAGCGCGAAAATAAATAAAACGCAGCCAGATGCACTTCCTCACCTTAGTATTCCTGATAGAACACAAACGATCAAATACAATTATACCATGAACGCCACAAATATACTGCAAGTACAACCGATATTATCTTATTCCAGCAATATTTGGGGTGTTTAATTTCTCTCTGATAACCAGTGTCGTTGTCTCTCCCAGCGAAAATGCTGGCGCGAAACTAGCACGCTGTCCAAATGAACTCTGACCCAACGCAAGAACCGCCCACTCCGCAATTTTGTACCCCTCATTAATTCTCTGTTTCTTGAAAAATGTTGATAATAATTTCAA